GGCCGAATGGGCCTCATAACCTATCGGGTGCTGTGGAACAGAGAAAAATCTATTGCACTGGGCCAGGAATCAAACCCCAGCCCTCCATCCTACAGCACATCACTATACCGACCCCTGGCTCCCAGAACTAATTGACTGAAAGAAGGTGGCCAATGTGGTAATGCTTCTAGCTTGTATTCAGGAGGTGTCCGTTTTGAATCTTGACCAGGACATTGACTGATCTAACAGGATTTCATGATTTTCTTCCATCCCTCCAGACAAATGCTGAAATAGTATCCACTTAGGCCACAACCACTTCCTTCGATATCCTTTAAACTTAATTATTCACCAGTCATCATTCTATTCAGTGCTGTATACTCCCAAGATATTAGTAGGTCCTTAAAATTAGCTTATTGCTGATTTAGTTATATTATTACAGATCCAGACTTTTTTCCCCACTCAGGTGGATGAGTCTGGGAACTCCTCTGAAGGAACTAACAGATTGTGTATGTAAAATCTGCAGAAAATTTTAACGAAATCAGTGGTAGAACTCATTTCAGATTTTGACTGTGACCAGAACATTTAATATTTGTTGCAAAGTTATTCACACTAAAGAAAATCCTGAAATTATGTTCCTTGCAATCTAGTGTGCCTCATTGACCTTGACATTAATTGCTTACACAAATCTGTTATTCTCATTGACTTTGACGTTTATTAATTGCTTATGCAAATCATTTTTTGGGGGTAAACATTTATTTTCTCACACAGACAGCAATTCGGCTTGCTATTCGTCAGTCAGGTTACAGTTGTTGGATTTGAGGTTCTGACAGTGCTGACTACGAAGGTTTGTTCTTCTGGGATATAACACAGTGTAGTCCAGTGAAAAACGACTGACATTTCGAATTAACATGTTGCATTCCTCTATGGGATTGAAGAGTAAGTCAAGCAAGATCGCTGTTCTGCTTGCTGACTGTTTCATGCTAGTTTCCTACTTGGCTTACTCTTCAACCTTGAAGATTGAGCTGATGTGTTCCTCCAAAATATGTATTGACTTTCAGCAGACTACATGGTGTTATATCCCAGAAGGTATGGTGGCTCTTCAAAATCCAATTGAATTAGCTAGTGAGCAGTCCACTTAAAATTTGGCAAAATGAAATTAGAGATGGATCTGAACTCATGTTGTAACAATATTACACAAAGTTTCGACCCTGTTCACACTGCTCAGAGTCATATTTCTCCATGTGTGTTGTTAAATGCTCACTGTATCAAAAAGAAAAAATTCAAATAAAACATTGTATAACTTTGTATTTAAGTATAATGTTCATACATTTTGAACACTGAGGCTTTTGAGGAATTTACCCACAAATTTTCAGTGTGTACTAGCTATGTGTGACATAAATGATATCTGATAAATCAGTCATTACACAGATAAAATTCAATTGGATTCGGTAGGCAGAATTTACTTCCTGTTATGACCTCATATTCTACATTTTGTATGAAGGAAAAAATTTGACTACAGTTAGGGTCGTATCCAACAAAGGTGGTGCATCTTAAGAGGGTACTGGGGCTAAACCCTGCTTACTTTTTGGAGATAGAAAGAAATGTTTGCTTTTTAAAAGCATCATTTACTTAAAGAAAGTGGACAAGTTAGTGTTTGAAGTCCACCCCTCAAATATATAGCTTTCTTTAATATACAGGGCAATGAAAAGCAAGAAAATATTGGATCTGTATTTTGTTAAGCTCGGTTGCCTGGACTGTATGAAAGAGCCTCTCTAAGTATTAAATAGTCCTTGAACAAGACAGTTTCACCACAGCCTACCAGCTGAGAGAGACTAATGCATTTGTTCAGAAAGAATGGTTTTCCAGTATCAAGTAGAAGATCCTTCTGGGGCCTACCAGACACTAGCCCTAGACGCCATAATAAAACTAAGGCCATTTCACCAAAGGATATCAGTAGCAGATTGGACGTTGCTCTTATGCTAAAGTCTGTATGTTCCTCCAGCTTTCTGTAATTATGTTCTTCCAACCAGTTTCTGCTGTGTAGAATCAGGGTGAGAACTTAGACCAATGCCATATCTCAGTGTACACAAGAATATGCTTTGTATTGAATGGCAGACCAATGCCATATCTCAGTGTACACAAGAATATGCTTTGTATTGAATGGCAGACCAATGCCATATCTCAGTGTACACAAGAATATGCTTTGTATTGAATGGCAGACCAATGCCATATCTCAGTGTACACAAGAATATGCTTTGTATTGAATGGCATCAGTTGCACTCATAACTTCAGCACAGGCAGTGGTATGGTATATTCTGTTTTTCACAGTCTGATATTTAACAAATCCAGTCCAGAAAACCGAAATTAACAGCCACTGGGAATTTGTGGCACTGACCATGCAACACCCTCTGTCCACTAAAATTGACACTAAAATTCATGAACAAGCGGCGGTCCCTCGGTCAGCATACTTCGCTTGCAGACTAAAATCACGGAGTTTACTTTTTTTTTCCATTTGATATTTAACAAAAATTTTATTTTAGTTCGTTGTTTTGTGTTTATTAGCAATTCTAGTGATTTTATTATCATTACTGAAGAATGAATGAGATAGATATACTTCCAAAAACTCCATTTTCCCTCTTAATTAGGGAAGTTACATCCTGCCCTTCACTGTGATTGAGCCCCAGCTTTTCATGGCACATAAAGAACGTTTTCACAGTGAATTCGTAAGTAGTGGTGTGAAATATATCCTGTGCTTTCAAGGGATAAATTAGAGAGTGAATTGTATACATTTTATAGAACTGGCACATTTGCCAACATAAAGTCTGTCTGGAAAGCACTCTCTCAGAAGTGCACAAATTAGTGGAAGTAGCATTAACAGCACCAGTCTCAACTGTGAAGACAGAACGTTGTTTTGATACTACAAAAAAAGAGTAAAGACCTACCATAGTAACTCCAGTGGGGAACGAACATCTTAATGCTTTGGCAGTTCTGAATATCCATAAAGATGTAATGACGGACACTCCAAGATTCGGCTGGAAGGTAATAGAATTGTTTGCATCACAACAAAACTGAAAAGATCAGATTCACGATAAATAAGGTAACTTTAAATGAATTTGTTATTTCACGTAACTTTCGTGAATTACCTTGAGGCAGTAAGATGAAAGGAAAGTGGCCTCCGTAGTATAGAGGTAATGTTCCCACCTCATGACTCGTAGTACGCAGGTTCAAATAACTGGCAGAGGTTGTCAAATTTTTAAGGGCGGAAAAATTCAGGGAACAAGTCCTCCGGGAGGGACTTTAAGCCGTGGGTCCCGTGTCGTAGCTTTACGGCATGTAGAAGAACCTCATATCTCCAAAGGAGGTCACTGAGCCAAATTATGGATGTTTCCCGCCCAACAGCAGTCTCTAATACCTCTGGTAGATGGGGGAAGAATTATAGATACCTCTCAGCTAGTAGAGCCGGTCTCGCTGGCTGGGCGGGACTGATTGTAAGCACCAGTACCGGTAGGATATAGAGACTGGTAGAAATCATAGAGGGAAGCACATTGGACCAATACAGGTCTAAGTGCATGGGGAAACCCACCCTCTCCAATAACTAACTAAGGTGAAAGGAAATATGTTTTTTTTAAATTTGAGGTTTTCACGGCAGTGACTATGAAGAAAGCCTTCTTCTGGGATGTGGCACCATGTAGGAAATGTGTTAACCAGCGTTTTAGAGGAAACTATCACCTCCATCTTCAAGGTAGAAGACAAGAAGAAATTCGCGAGCGAACCAGCAGAGCAGGTGCAACAGATTGTGTCCAGTGGAGTAAACACAGCTGTATAAGATAAGGAAAGGAGGAGTGTGGCTACATAGGGAAATAGTAGAGAGGGGGAAGGGAAGGGTCTGGTTGGAATAGCCAGCAGGTAGTCGGCCAGAGCTGGTATAGAGTATGTGTTAGGGGGAGAGAAGGGAAGGTTAAATGGAGGGCATTAACCCTGTAGCTCAGGGGCTGCGATTAGCCTGAGTGGCCTGTAGGGTCTGCCATATTTTGGATGTTACTTGAGGGAACAGATGAGAGGCTCCCATGATTTGCTGAGACAAAACCCCCTCTCTCTGTTCATATTGTCAGGATGGAGTGCAATCTCAATGGCCTCCATAATAATGCGATCCATTAATCCATATAACGGGTTTTGCTAGCGAGGATGGAGGTATTCTGAAGCTGAATGTGGTGTCCCAAATCGATGCAGTGTACAGCCACAGCTGACTTGTTTTCAGGTTGTTATAGGTGTTGGGACTTATTTGAATTTTCTTGCGTAACTGAATCAATGCCGTGTTCAGCCACAGCTGACTTGTTGTCAGGTTGTTATAGGTATTGGGACTTATTTGAATTTTCTTGCATAACTGAATTTGATCAGAAATATACAGTTTTTGTGCACCACTTTTGGTAATGGTTGAGTGTGAACCCATAATCTCACCAATCCCTCAAGATTTAGCCTGTACTGTTAACTTCTTTCTGATTTTTGTTGAGACAAGGCACAGTGCACTCTTTGTGTTCCATTGGCAAAAAATGCACATTTACTTGAATGGAACTTATAATTCTCTGTTCTTTCTTGTTTTTACTCTGTCAATTCTATTGTTTGTGAATACTGTAAATCAGTACAATTATTGCATTTTTTGTCCTTATCCATCATCCTGTTTTTTATTTAAAACATAACATTTTGGAGACTGGATTCTGTCTTCCTCCAGAGACAGAGACTAGCTCTGTCGATTTGGCCCAACTGAGTGGACTTTTACTTAAAGATGGAGACAGAATAAAGTCGCTGAAATATTCTATTTCAGTGAAACAGAGGGCAGTGGATAATTACCAATAACTCGGTAATTTTAATAATATGCCATCATCACAAACTTGTGTAACTTATTTACTATAAGTCAATCTAAACACAAGGTGCACACAGTAGCATAGTTGGTTGGGGCACTATGCCACAAGCCGGAAGGTTCAAGTCCCGGTGATGTCATTGACTATTTTTCAATTGACCTAATCCTTCCAGCCACACTATGGCCCTGGGGTTGACTCAGCCTGTAACAGAAATGAGTACCAGGATTATTCTTGGAATGTTCTTGGGGGGTAAAGGGTGGCTGGAGCATAGGGCTGACAACCTTTTCACAGTCTATGAGCCATTTGTCTAGAAAATGTGGGAACCTCAACATCTTACAACCCTATGGGCCTCCACGGCCTGTTACAGGGATACCTTTACTTTTTTACTTCACAGTCTGAACACGTTTTTCCGCGTGACTGTGAAGAAAATAAACTGCTGACAAATTAAAGAAACTGCCCTATTTATGTATATCGGAATGCCTTGTGAGTGCCACTTATATTCAGTTCTTGCTTTTGGTAGCTTTTTTTCTTGTAAGGCTAACTGAACATGTGTATGTATTCACAGAATTCTACCTCAGAAATGAACCAGACAACTGAAGGTTTCCTTTCATCCATATTGAATGATGAAGATCTCCAATTGATGGATATGGCTATGAATGAGGGTGAGTTTAATTTACAGTTTTGTAGATGGCACATTTATTTCTTTGCAGCAGGGAAAGAAGTGATTGCATTTGGTTCTTACCTCATGCAGCATTTCTTTACTAAAATAAGAGGTTTTTGTTTTACCCTTTACATCTTTTGGCATTTGAGTCACAGTTTTGTTCCACCAAGTGAACCTTGACCAGATCAACTTATATTTCATGTTGAAGTCACAAAGAGCTGTTCTTGTATAATGTTTGAGGCTTTTGCAGTGACCGATCACAGTGAAGCTTTATGCTTGAGAGGACTTCATTGCAAACTACTCTACAGTATTTGAGATTTTTCAGTTTCTCTTACATCCTGTTTACTGTGCAAATTTATAAGATTTCACCATTTCTATGCTGATGATCTGTTTTGTCATTTTCCTTAGTCCATTGATGTAGTGGTCCTATATATGATTACTCTCTTTTCAACCTTCCAGAACCATGAAATATATATGGTCTTTGGATCTTATATTTGGTCTGACCTCAATGCAAAAAAAAATTACAAAAAACTTTCCATTATCAACTTTCCAGATTAACCACTGGATTTTTAGAACCACATAGGTATCGATTATGGCTTCCTGTAATTGTTAAGTGTCATCCAATACATCACTAATAAGTATCAATGATGATTCACGATGATTTACAGTACACTGTACAGCTTCTCACCATGTTGCAACATTCTATTTTATTATTTTACTCCCTTTTCACTTATCAGTATATAAACATTGGTTTGTTCTTCTGGGGAGATATTTTTCTTCCTATTAATGACAAGTAGCATGCTGAGGAAGTAATAATTGTGCGATTTTTCAGGGTTGGTTGTAACATGGATAGTGGGTATTTCAAATTTTTTAATTATATGTTGCTTTTAATTAACCTCTCAACTTCTCACCTCCATTACTATAGATAATTAAGAGTTCTCAGTACTAGTAAGTGTTGTTCACACAGTATTATTAATTTTAATTTCACTTTCCTTTGTATAGCATGACACTTCACCCCCCCCTTCCCATTCAATAGCATCATGCTCTACAGCCCCACCTTACTTCCATTAGGCAGCTTCATTCTCATGCCTGGTTCACCCTGAAGATGGTGACAGTAGTGTACACTTAAATGTTGGAACAGTTGCAATGCATGGTGCAACTAAAGCCTGAAAGTTAAATTTGCATATTAATTTTAAAACTACTTGTGCTTAGATGCTGTTAAATTATTTGTACAGTTTTGACTGTTAACATGACTGTCATTAATGCTGATAGCTTGAAAACTACTTGAAAAGTCTAGTATGTTACTCCAGTACCATGGAAGAGATAGTAGGTGTACAAACACAGTTTAATTAAGAAAGACAAATTTCAGTGTTCAATCAGCAACTAAGTAGATTTGAAAAGAGTGGCAGGATATAAATCTGTCTCCTTCTCTTTCATTTGATACACAGATTTATTTGAACAAGAACTTAATTACAGATTATTAACAGAAGTTTCCACTTTATATGCATCAACCCTCTTCCTTTGTGCCATTGTTTACAGTAATCACAGGCACTAAATAACTGCACTGCTTTCTGTATATACAAATCTTGCTTACACATTTCCACCATTTTTGTGGAATACAGTCGCATGCATTATTTTGAACAATTGAGATACCTGGTTGTAAATGGGAGGGTAATATTAAAATGGATTTGATAACATAGGATGTAAGGTGTGGATTGATCATGTAATGTATGTTATAAGGGTGGACTGGATTTATCTTGCACAGGATAGGAACCAGTTGTAGGCTGTTGTGAGCATGGTATTTAATGTACCCTTGGGTTCCATGAAAGTGGAAATTTCTTGACCAGCTGAATGACTATTATTAACTTCTCAAGAAGGACCCTTATCCATGGAATTACTTATGTTAAGAACAGAAGTGTGTGAAATACTGAACCATATGGTCTTGACCCTTTAGCAACATTAATATCATGCTGAATTATGTCATGTGGTTTGTATGTAAAAAGGCTTTTGAGCAGCTCTTACAGTGGTGTGTTGTATGTTCTTTCACTCCTATATTACCTTTCCAGTGTTTTAATGTAAACTGAAACATTTATGAAAAGTATCTTACCTTTGACATGAAAGAATATATGTTGGCTCTGAAGACACAGCCCCACCTTAGCATTGCTTTTGTCTACTCTGTGAAATTTCACTGCATAGCTTTAAAGCTTTTGTTATCATAAAGGTGAAAATTGTTGAGTCATCGTGTTGACATGCTAATATGAGAACTGATTCATGAACTTAGCACAACACATATTGAATTCATTGCTACGTACAATGAGTGTGTATGTGATTTAGGCAGTGATGGACAGTTTGGAAGTGTTATGTAAATGAGAGAGTACCCCAGTTTTCTTCCATGAAACTATAAGTGAGAAAGTGTAAAAGTGTGCGTTACTCTTGAGTTGTGGTATAACTAGAAATAGACGTTTGTAGGAATGTCATGGATTTTCAAAGGTGTAGCTCAGAATATGCAGCACATGTTACGTACGTACAGTATTGTTACAGAAAATTTCACAGTCTGACATTGCATGTTGTTTACAGACCTGTACTTAGTTCATCTATTTCTTTATTTTTAATAGTTCTGCCTATTTGATAATTGTATGAATGTGTCTGTTACTTTTAATCTGAGTTCTGCATATAAACCTTCATGTCCAGTGCATATACCACAATTTTTCATCTACGGAGATATGTATAGATTTTTAAATAGACAGTATTAATTGACAAAATGTGAAGAAATTAGTGGAGGAATTTTGACAAAGAGACCATATTCATTTAGTCATGTGATACCTTGATCGTGGTCCATTCATACTAATAGTTTTTATAAGTTTCATTGGTTAGTTTGCTGTTTCAAATAAAAATAAGAATTATATTTGGAAAGTGCAGCATCTTTACTCCATGGATGAAGTTCCAGCTGCTTAAATGTTCATAAATACTGGCCAGTATGGCAGATTGTACAGCAGTTAATGCTGATGACACTCCAGTTTTCATCAATAATAGTAGTGAAACAAATGAAGTAATGTGTGCTTGTTGTGATAAATTTAAAATGGAACTGCAAAAGATCTTAATAGAACTCAGATCAGTATAAAAAAATTATATAGCTGCTACAAGAAGAGATAAACTTAAACACACCCAATCAGACTGTAAGTACAGACACTTGTTACTTGCAGAACACCAAGAATTCTACACAATTGAAACTCAAAAAAGGGAACTGGGTTCATGTGCCCTAATCGTGTCAGAAAAGCGAGAGTAAGCCAGAAGTACACAAAACTCTTCCAGTACCTACCATTGCAAACCGCTGTGAGCTACTAAATAACCTCAACGAACCGACAAACACAACACTAAATCAGAGACTGGAAGTTAAAACAAAGACTGAAGAAAAGATAATCAAGACCAAGGCGAGAAGAAAACATAAAGTTCTCATCATTGGTGATAGCCAGGTGAGAGGATGTGCAGCAGAAGTATCACCTAACCTTGATGAAAACTTTGAAGTTTGGCCTTGCAATGCCAGGCTCAAGACTAAAATCTTATCACTAATGCAGCGAGGAGAGAAAGTGCAGCCCTGACCAGGGATGATGTAATTGTGATGTGGGGTGGTACAAATGACAAGCACATCTCCAGCTTCATGAAAAATAGGGGACATACAAATATTGTAATAATAAATGCACCCCACAGACATGATCTAGACACAGCATCTTGCATAAACAATGAGGTAAAAGTGTTTAATGGGAAACTACTCAAAATGAAAGTGCATGACTGTGCAAAAGTAATGGAGACAAACTTAAGTAGATAACACTTTACCCAGCATGGACTACATATGAATAGACTCAGAAAAGAACTCATACTCAAAGCTGTATCAGAAAACATAAAATCAGTCCTTACAAGACAACCCCCACCCCCATCCAATAATAAGGAAAGGTGATTTTTTATGATCAACAGGTCTGTCCAAGAGAGTGCTCTAATAATTAATGATAGAAAGGCACACTGCCTTCAGCAAACTAGTTATAATAAAATTACCCGGGTAACTGGTCACAAAAGAAGCTAACCTATCAAACAGTAAAATAAATCAAGCAAATGGAATTATAAACAGAACCAGTAGTACAGTAAAATCAACAAAACATAAGATATTAAAAATATACCACCAGAATATAGAAGGCCTAAAAAGCAAAAGGAATGAACTGATAAGTTCCCTGTATTCAGCTATTCCACGCATATTATGCCTCACCAAACACCGTATGAGAAGACTAGAATTAGAACACACCCACATAGAAAATTACAGATTAGGAGCCAAATACTGCAGGCAGTCAATGAAAAAAGGAGGAGTAAGTATATTTGTTCAAAAAAACTAAAATTCGCTGATGTTAACATAGAGAAGTACTACTACTACTATTCTATGAGTGGTCTCGGTTACTGTTGCACTTCCCGAAATTCATTTTTGAAAGATGCTGTCATTTCTTCCATTTGCTTCACTGTGCAGCCTAGATCTGGAAGTGAAAAGTTCCTCTGTCACTAATACTGTTGTTCATCTCATTATTCAATAATGTTTCATTTCATAATAACCCTTAGAGTTTCGACTGTCACTCCATGAATCTTATAAAGTTTGTTTTGAATCATTTGTATGTAAACCTTTAGCCATCTGTTGCTCTGACAGCAAAGATGATTTATTGTGATACTATAAGCCTCCACGGCTTTCAAGTTCAGGAACTAAAGTGTAGTTATTTGTGCCTCAAGATATTTTCTGAGCGTTCATGATGAAATGTTACACTTGAATTAATAGACAGCACTAAACCAGACCTGTGCCACCATAACAACCTCTTTGTCAAACAACTTTTGTGGTAGCAGCACAAAATATGTACATATGTCATTACACACACCCCAGTCTGGATTGTTTTCATTGGCCAGATTAAAAACAGGAAGGATTCATCATGATTCTGACATGCATTGCCTTGGGATCATCTTCAGGAGATGGGATCGCTGATCAGTCATTTATTTCATACCTGTTAGTGGAATATTTAATTTTCCATATTGTGATGAGTATTTACAAAAAAAAATAGAATAGATAAGAGTTCTTTATTTTAGAACATACAAAAATCTTACAATAAAGCTTATATATATATCATAAATTAGTCATGAAAAGGGTGGCCAAAGTTAGTAGTGGCATTACTGACATAATGAGTACATTGACAACATTGAGAAGACACCTTTAACTGAAGTAATATAAGAATGATGCAAGTTGTCTACAGTGGACTTCATGTTATAATGCATTTTTTGTTTCTTGCATCATTTGTATCCCCATGTTTATAAATGATGAAATTATGAATTAGTGGTAGTGGATTACATTGTCACAACTCTCAAACTCAGTTTCATATATAACTGAGCAGTGATGGATGAGTTTTAATTTAAATGAAAATGTACCGAAAACACACAAGTTGGCAGGATGAGTGATTGTCAAATTTACCAGCAGCAGACATAGTGATAACAGGCTCTAGAGGTGGCACTGCAATCAACTTTTCTTCAGTAATAGATATGTCAGTACCAGAGGCTCTTTCTACACTGGTAAAACAGCTGGGATGTGAGCTAACTACTTGCCACAGTCTAGTGCTGACTAAAATAATTGCATTTATTTCCTCCCAAAAGAAATGTCTGTATAAACATTAGACATAAAATATCAGTTTAATAACCACTAGGTCAAGTGTTTCAAAAAGCTGCCAGCGCACTATAAATGGTTAAGGATCTGAAAGGTTATAAATTAATGTATCGTAATGTGCATAATCTGTGATTTGGTTATATTGGTTCTGGATATGGTTTTAAAAAAGAAGAAAACAGTAGGGAGAAGGTAAACAGATTTTGCTTACAGTTATCTGCAACAGATTCAGTATTTGGTGACAGAGGAAAGAATGACTGTTTCTTTTCTTACTGGAAGTAAGAAGGCATCTAGTAGAGTGCAGACAGGGATTTAGAAGAGAGGCAGAAATGACTGATAGAATTAAAAATATAGAGATACAGCATGTAATGATAACAGGCTACATACTGAAGTGGCATTTGACAGATCTGGGACTGAGATAAAGAGGTGCAAAGTCACCATTACTATTTATTATTGTTCAGTAATATACTGACAGAGGTAATGAGTTCCTGACATGCACATAATGTTTTGACTTTTAAGTGGCAGAATTATGCATCAGCAGGTGAAACAAGTATGTAATGTTTGTTGTACCCAGAGTTTCCAAATGTGTTCGGCGTGGGTTTGCCGTCTAGCTACTGATATTCAGTGCTAACAAAATTTTGTTTTCAAGGCTGGAGTTTAATGTATAGCTAAGCCTTTTGGGGAATATACTGCATAGAATATTATTTTACATTTTTTCAGACATTCCATTTCCCATCTTGAGGGTTAATGTATTTGTGGAATGCTGAAGGCTCTGGATATATCTCACAGTGGTTGCTGAGGCAGAAGTGGTCACTTCTTTCTGGATATCACCCTTCTCCTCTGTTTTGAACCAGTCACTGCTTCACCTTTGACTTTTTGTGCACTGCAAGATCTGTATAACAGCTTGCAACCCCCCCCAAGACATTAACCCTGAAGATGACAACTGCAGTGTTTGCCAGAACGTTGGAAAACCCTTAAAATTTTGTGCAAGGCATTCCTGAAAGCTGAAGTCATACTTTTCATTATATTGCATACAATAATTTGATTAGTCATAAATGGTCATGGAAAAAACCATATTCAAATTGCTCTACCTTACCCAGGTGAGAAGGAAGGAAGGAAGGAAGGAGAGTAAGGTGTATAAAAATTTACAGTACTGTTGGTAGTGGATTTTCTGTAAGAGAGGAACAGTGAATGATAAGAAAGGAAGGCAAGAGATTACCAAGAATACCAGGAGTGTCACAGTAGTTGAAGATCAGTAGCAGGGGACAGGGGGAAAGGAAAGTAAAATGGAAAGGAGAAATAGAGTTGAGTGTTTATGATTTGATAGAAGTTACTGGAAGAGATGTTGACATGCAAAGATGACTTGCAGTAGGTGTGCACAGTTTACTGTACTATCCCTGAAGCCAAGTATGAGGTCAGTCAAGATGCGGATATTTACCTGGCTCTTGTGATCTGATCTCGCCATTTCTGTTCCCACAGGAGAAACAATTCTCTTGTATCCTACAGGCTGCCACATGCAGCAGACAACTTCTCCAGAATCGTCAGTAGACAGGATTGCCTCCAATTCCAAACTACTTAGTTAAATGGAAGTTGTGGGTTTGTCTGAAGTTATATATATAAATAACTAAGCCATAATATTTTTACAGTTTTAATCCTTCAAAGCCAAAGTAGTAGTTTACAATAGTACATGCAAAGAAGAAGAAGAATATTCTGATTGAAGATGAAGAGTGTTTATATTTTAATATTCTCATTCCTAGCATAGATCTCTCTTGAAAATTGTGTTTGTGAGATTAAAATTAATATGGTATAATATTTTCAGCACTTGATACCATGTCATAAACACCTATAATTTATAAAATTAAGCAGTTTCTCTTTCACATAATGCCACATAATCTTTCAGAGACAGCATGGTGCTATATCATATCTGTAAAAAATATATGCTACAAGTGTAGTTTTTGTCTTGTTATATTTAAGATCTCCTTTAAATTATAAATACCAGGAAAGAACTGGGCCAGTAGCACCATATACTAGTGTTTTCTATGGAGTAAGGAGAAGGTTAGCTGTGAATACAGGTTTTGTTGAGTTGTGATGACTAGTGCTTTGTAATAGGGTTAAGATATGTGTCGACCTTGTATTTATGCAGAAGATAGAGTCACTTGTGGCTAAGTCATTGTATATATTAATCATGATTCAACTAATTTCAGTTATCGATTTTCCTTCCCCGTGCATGATTTTGCGCTCTTCACAGTGTGTAGTGAGTGTAATGATCTGCATTTTGGTCTTATTTTCTTGAATGACCTTTTCTCTTTTTTTTTTTTTTTTGTTCTCCTTCCCCTCACCCCCCTACTGGCCTGTGTAGACAGAGCAGTTCATGTGGTGTGAGCTCTTGATAAGATAAGAATTTCTTGTTGAATGTTGTATTCCTTTACAAAGTGGTGTGAAATTGATCATGATGGCACTGGTATTCATCTAAAAGCAGGAAAGTGTGCTTTTCCTTCTTTTGGAATGGGTATCAGTTGTGCAGGACCACACAATGCAAGTATGTGGATGAACTGTGACAGTGTTTTGAATCAGACGGGATCCTGATGAATATGTTCCGGAAGATGATAATTGTTCTATAGGGCTGAATAAGGAAGATCTTTCCTGTTAGAAACTGAACAGATTTGAGTTGAAATATGAAGTTGTGATAGAAATATGCTGTTTGTATGAACAAAAAATACATTTGGCAAGGTTGAGATCTTGAAATCAACATATCACTGTTGTGCTGCAGAGTTCATTGCCCTTGGATATAATTGTCTAGTAACAATATTATGAAGTGACACCTCAGTAGAGCATCCTGCTATCATCCTATGGTAAAAACTGTCCTTTCACTTCTTTTTAGTATGAGAACTTGTACAAGAAATTAAATGTTATTCTTATTTAATTGGATAATTTAAAAAAAATCTGTGAAATAATTTTCTTTCTTTTTTTTTTTTCAGATAAGTTGACCTGTTATAAAATGTTTTAAAAGATCCTTTATGTTGCTACTTAAAATTAATTTGGATTGATAAATAGAAGCAGTAATGCAGCTCAGAATTATAACTACACATTTGAATGTATTTGCAGCTTAAAATTTGAATAATATATTTATTGAATTTATGTCATGTCAAAATTTGTACCATACTGTTAGTAGGACATTGCCTCCCAAACACCCACCACCACACCTTGGAGGGGGTGGGGGGAGGCATAAACATGCTCTTTCCGAAGCAGATTTAAGCAAACAATTAAGAATATTGTTTATTGTGATACTGTAAGAAATCTGTTTGAACTTATGTACCAGTTGAAATACAGTTTTAAAATTTACGTTTATGTTACCACTTTTTGTGCTACAAGCGTACAACTCATTCTAAATTGTTTCACAAAATACGAGATACTGGGATCATTTTCAGTATTTTCCCCAGTTTTGCACATTTCACCGCACAGCAGTACTCTGGTGTAGCATAATCAGTGCTTCTGAATGAAGTCTCCTAGTTAATTACAAAATAAAGAACTTATCTAGAAGAATGAATGATTTGAATGATATTGAATTTCCACTTTGACATTATGTAATTATGTTCTTAAATAGATATCTTGTAGGTCAATCTTAAGGGTTATAGAAATGTGGCAAAATTGTTGCAGCATTATCTCCAGACAGTATCAAAAGAATGTGTAGTTGCTGCTTGTCATGTACCAGCAGGTAATAATTATTTATGATAGCAGTAACATAGATTGTGTGGGATGTCTTGGGCTTTGTTTACTGTCAGTAGTTTGCGGTGGTTGTTGCCATGATGTATGCTCTTGCCAAAAGTTACATGCTTTCTTTGTGTGCTCAGGATCAGCCACTAAGGCTAACAGTAAAGCCTGCAATGATTCATCATTATCAGTAGATTCCTTAGGTGATCTTCATTATGAGACATCTCAGCCTTGACTCATAATTATATTATACAGGGTCTTTTGAAATAAGGATGCACTTTTGAATCATATCTCAAATATGGAATAAAGTGCATTGTACTCATATATGACATTTTTCCCAGGTTTATTTTCTAGTTTTGCAGTGGTTCCATGGGATATTCTCATATAATGTGGACAGCATCCCATTTCTCTCATCTTTGACCATGACTACAGCCACAACAAATCTTGCTCACAGTTCAACAAGGGTTCACAGTGGCAGGGGGGGTGGGGGGGAGGAGGAGGGGGGAGTATCTACTAGATCTTTGATGCAGCTGCACTGCAGAAAGTGTGCTGATCATTCTCTTATTCCATGGACATACAGATTTTCACATTCTGTTTGTTTTGCCACTGATGTGAACTGTGGCCTCATTGCTAGCTCATAGGTCTGGCTGAACAGTGTGGTATCCTAATTTGAATTCTTCCTCTGAATGCTGAAGGTTTCAGAATCAGTTCCACTCTATAACTGTTCTAAGCTTTGTTTCTTTGGTAATCCTTACACAGTTATATGATAAGCCAGAGCCAAGTGACAGCTCAGAATATATAATACACTGGACTGAACTCACTTCAAATAGATCAAGAACAGAACTCTGAATACTGAAATGGTACCCTAAGTTAGATAATGGCTCTTTTTTCCACATCCTTCCAGTTTGTTCATTATTCATTAATTATCATTTCATTCTACATTATATAGTCTCAGCTAGACCGAATAAATATACAAACAGATATTTCATAATCTCGTTGGCTGTACCCAGAAGTGTTTTAAATGTGAATTATGGTCTCTAATGAAAATACACTAAAGAAAACCATGTTACCTTGAGTTCTATGAATGAATTAAAAGTTAATGAGGACATAAAGGCTGGTGTTCCAGTTTCCAAAATTATAGAATAATTTAATGTTGTGTAACAGACTTTGTCCGATGCTGAATGAAATAAAGTAAATCTCAGGCTTGCTAATCTTGATTCCGGCCAAACCCAGAATCCTTCCCCCCATGTACTATGGTCTAGTAGGGGATTCATTCATTTCCTTTATTTTCCATATATCCATACAGGTAACTAACCTAGGATGTGGAAATGGTCCCTTTGAAAATAGATACAGTAAAACTTGGTTATAGCAACATCAGTTTCTGCGACACCTTGTCTATTGCGTCAAATATTCAATGGTACGAACTAATTCCTCATAAAGCAACTGTTTTTATACCTTGCTTAGTACGACATGCACAAATGCATCAACCTCGTATGTAATGTCATTTTCTTTCCTGAATTTCTCTGAGATGGACATTGAACATAATTTAGAAAGTGTGTATTGGGCAAGTAACAGGAAACAGATGAAGATAACTGATTACTGTACTCGTATCTAGGTACAGTAAGGCACAACAATTGATGTAATGTACTGTAATTTGGTGAGTGGGCCTACCTTTAATATACAGTATTAGTGTGGTGTGTATTGTCAGTGAAAAGCGCTGTAATATGTCTTTGATATTACACATTTGGGCAATTCCACGTTAATGTTACGTTAGTCTGTACTTAACTACGTATTTCACTAAAAAATGCAACATTTTAACTCGGTTTTTGGTAGATTTTTATGTGACTAACATAAGGCTACTGTGGAAGTGCCCACTTCGGTTACAACGACATTCGTTTATAACGACACTATTTTTAGGTCCCTTTGATGATGTTATAACCAAGTTCTACTGTATATCAAAATACATATACAGAATTACATGAGTCACATAATCAGGATCACTTACATTAATCGATTAACATAAATAATAATATAAAGTAAAAGATTTAGTAAGATTTTAATTAGTAAACATAATTTAAAAACAACTTACTATTAAACTTTAATTATTAAAATGTTATTTAAATTAGCAATATTAACTGAATTAAATACATTACAAATTTACACACTTATGACCAATTATGTTGATAATATTCATTGATCATTCATCCATTCATCGTTGTTAATGATAACAACAGTTCCTGGAAAATGCAAAACACCTTTAGCAGTTAACTAAAGACTGAAAAATGAACAAAGAGTCTATATATTCAGGTGATCAGTTTTAATTGATTCTTATAGTGCACAGTTCTAGGAAAGGTTATTTATGTCTGAAGGGCGATAATGCAGCTCCACATGTTATAAATTGTTGTATTTGTATGATTGCTTTGTATTTTGCTTTAGAAATTTGAGAATGTTGTTTGCTGATGTGTCTGAAGATCATAATGCTGCTACATATTATTTGTTTTCATAACATGTGTTTACTATGTCATTGCCTTTGTAGTATTAACATTTTGTAAATGTAGCTAATATTTTATATTTACACTGTCGGATTGAGTGGACTAGTTAAACTTGGTTATTTAACAATATAGTCAGTGTTGTGACTATATGGTGTGGATGATCATCATCAACATTGGCATGACAGCCCTGTATGGGCCCTGGCCTCCTCAGAATTGCTTACCCTTCTTCTCTATTCAGTACCACAATCCTCTAGTTTTTTTATGCCCAACATTCTGATGTCATGCCACACACATTCTTCCCATCTCAATCTTGGTCTTCCCACTTTCCTAGTTCCTTCTGGATTGGTATTAAATACCTTCTTAATCATTCTGTTTTCACTGGCATGTACTTGGTGTCCAGCACTCAAGCCTTTTCACCTTTATGAATCTGATAATATCTTGTTCATTAAATGGTTTTTGTAAAGTGTCAACAATAGGATTATTATTGGATGTGTAACCAAAACAAGCAGTTATCAGTGCCATTGATTCTATTACTTTGTGAAACTAGATTTACGTGACATAGATTGACATCGCCTGAATATATCCACATGCTGCGTTCCTCACAAGAAATACACGGTACTTTGGTTGCAGGCATGTACACCATGCGACTGCTGGACAGCAACAACTCGAACAATGCCAGCAGTGTGGGAAGTATAGGCACAGCCCTACAACCATCAGAGGAGCGCATGGATGCATCAAGTGATAGTGCTGTAAGCTCGATGGGTTCAGAACGTGTCCCCTCATTGTCAGATGGAGAGTGGATGGAAACGGGCTCGGATTCTGGCCACACAACAGGAGATCACTATGCAATGGATTACCATGCAAGGTGTGTGCCTGAACAGTTGTGTAACAGAACAGGATGCAGCATCAAATTTGCTAGGCATGTGTGAGTCTTATTTTTATTTAGATCAAGTTGAGGACCACTGATTCTTCAATTCCTGACATTCAGAATTTTCAGATAACTGCTCAGCTTTGTACAGTAGCATGCAAGCCATCTGATCCATCAGAACCATAATAGTTACGAACACTAGCATGAATCATCTTGCCAAAACATTCTTTTGCTCTGCCTCCTTATATCAGTAGTGATCAAGGACATGGACCTAGAATAATTTTTTTAAATACAGTGATTGAGTGAAAATTCTCATTAAAAATGTGTCTGATGTCAATAGGGATAAGTAGTACTGTATGGTGCATTGTGAAGAAATGGCTGGTGTTATAAATTCTGATTACAGCAAAGAGATTGGTCTCATATAGAAATTCTCATTCTCAGCATTTTCCTGCAGTTTCATCTTGAACTGAAAATATAATTCAGATATGGCTTTAGTTGTACATTACATTAAAACACACTGTAACAGATGTCCCCTTCGATCTGTGTTTTATGCGTCAAACTCTGGAAACCTACTACCATGATGTACCACGTAGATGTGAAGACATAATTCTCTGAAAATATGAAATCATTTTTATGCCAGAGAGCTTTCCTACTAGGTAGAAAAGAGGTAGGTTTTGTGGTCTTGTAAGGAGGGCGTTGAGAGTTCATGAGACAGAGGGAGTGAGAAGACAAATGGCAATTGATTTAAAATGCTTTAGCACCAGATAAGAAGTGAACATTGCAATTTTCATCCTCAGAAATTCATCATCAGGTGATTAGCTTTGTATACACTTTTGGAATTGTTACAGGTTTATCAGAGAGTTAAGAGAATTCTTATAAATTCAACTAAAAATTGTTATATTTTCCTTCCTTTCCTTGTCTCTGTAATATCATGATTTGTATATTCTTGTTACAGCAAGTACAGGCCATATGACTACAGCTACTCAAGTCGCCAGCACACAAGTGCTGGAGTGGGCTCATCTGATGGCTCACATCGGATGCCTCCCATGGCTCAGAAGAAACATCATATGTTTGGCAAGCGTTGCTTCCAAGAACAAAGCTCAGGTAATACACAAGTCCTGATATGTTTTGTTATGAAATTCTGTTAACAGATTCAAAAATCATACACTAATACTACTTCCTACATAACAGCAGTGTTTTGTTTAACTAACTCCTTGAAACTGAGCCCTTTTGGGAAGGCCACCAGTTACACAGTTACTCGATAATTTCCCAACATTTTATGGAACCTGAAGGTTCATTACTGTGTTCACAAAAGCCCTCCACCAGTCCCTATGCTGAGCCAGATCAATCCCATCCATACCACGCCATCCTGTCCGTAGTGTTTTTTATTTAAGCTTACCATAATTTAAAACGATGGAAGATGGAGCAGGAACTTGATTTCCATGTTTGGTACAGAACAATTATTATTTAAATATTTTTGCAACATATTTTAATTATAAAGAGAAATCACTGTTATATTTGGAGATCACTGCTTTCTGGGATGGATGTGATGCCATGCAGTCCAGCAGGATACCTGTCATATCCCAGAAGACAGTTATCTTTATATTCATTGCTCTAAGACTCGCAGATCTATCTTGGCATTGTGTATGCTTTTAAGTGGTCTTTTGGGTGTTAAATTTGAGGGATTAAAATTAAAGACTTTGATACTTCCATCTATGCCCATTATATAATTATCAGAAATATATGCTTTTGCTACAGTGAAATTCCAGTGAAATTAATAATAAATTGGCAAAAATTTGAAGTTAGCAAATACCTTTTCTTTTTTCCTCAGCTGTATATATGTAAGGAAGGTAGCTAGTGTAATGTCACATGCACAGAATCAAAGCAGAAGTCTTTTGTAACAACAGCATGAATATGTATTTGGTGAAAACAGGTATACAAAATACAGCTTAGCTTGAAACAGAGTGAATGTTTCATGAAAGAACTAAATATACGAATAAAAAGGAACTTGAAAGTAGAAAACAAAACACTGTAATGGTAGCTAACAAACCCAAAATGGCATGCATATTATCGACCACCTTGAGGGGAAACCCCACTGATGGCGAACACAATAGAACTTACCTTCGTAGATGTCATGTGGGCCACCTGTTCACCTGGGAAGTGGCAGAGAGCCAAAACTGTTTAGAACAGAGAAACCAGACAAGAATTTAGAGTGAACCGCCCTGTTCGTTTTCACTGTGGATTTATTTAATGCATCTCATGTGACTTATTACTTCAGAACATGTGCAGTGAACAATATGATGATCACATATGTGAACAAAGCAAACAAATAACAAATACTGTTGTGCCCATATGAAAGCTATTACAGCAGAATGTTTCAAATATTTCAACAGCTTCACTCTGGTGTTCTAAATATAGTGACATAATGGTTGAAAGCTGGAATAGCGGAGTGAGAAGAGGCGACCATTGCTAGGCAACGACTGGTAAACAACAGCCATGATCCGATGTTTTCTATGCAGTCTGCACAGTTTTCTGTGCAGTCCATTCTGAAGCTGGATAATGTGGATCAACAGTACAAGCCAAACAGTTTAGAGTCTTGAGTTAGTTGTGAGACAGTCAGCCTGCCAGCAACGGTGTGAGCAAGGAGGCCAAAGAATCTCCATTGTTGGGAGTATTTAACAAGCAAAGAGGCTAGTGAAGATATAGAAGACTTTATATGAGCCATAATTACAGTGATCTTTATAGAGTATGGAAACTACTGAGAGTATTACAGATATTTGTAGATACAAGTTATAAACCTTCAATAAACCCAGTCTTCAATCCAAAACCTAAGTCCCTGGTCACTAGCACATGATAGTATTTGAAGTACAAGGGTTGGATAAAACATTGAATTGAATTGAATTGAATTTATTTACATTCTATAAATCCTAAGCAGGTTAGTACCTTTGGATACAGAACAAGTCAAAAGGTTACATACATAAGTACAGGCAATTTTAGCTTAAAATTAATATAACTAGGGTTTACATCATTCAAACACTGCTGTAACATGAAAGATGTGCATCAAGTGGCACTAGCACCATCTGTAGCTGATAGCAGAATTTCGGTTGAAGTAGTGCAGTGAGCGGCTCTGGTTGTGTTTCATTGAGTTGCATTGTGCTTCATCTTGAAGTGCAGGAGCCCAGTTCAGGTGCGCTAACAACATGTTTAAGAAACAAGATCAACGCTCCTGGCTAAAAATTGAAGTTGCACAAGGTCATAGTGCACAAAACTGTTATCAGGGACTGCGAGAAGCATGTGGTGATGCTGCTTGGCCATATCGCACAGTGGCACGATGGGTGAAATTGTTCTGTGAAGGGAGGGATGCTATTCAGGACAGCCATCGTTCAGGACAACCCCATGTTGACAACCACACAATTCAGCTTCTTGCTTCTTTGCTGGATGTCGATCGCTAATGGGCTGCATGGTAGTTAGCTGCTGAGGTAGGCATATGTCACAAAATCATGCTCCACATTCTGCACGATATTCTTGGATACTGCAGAATTGCAGCGCATTGGGTACCCCATACAATGTCCAAGGTGCAACAATGGCAACATTATGCAATTGCACAGGACTTGTTGGACCAGTACCAGAAGGAAGGTGACGACTTCCTTGGAAGGATCGTCACTTTGGACGAAACTTGGGCTCGTTCATACCAACTGCACTTGAAGCAACAATCAAATGAATGGAAGCATCCTTGCTCTCCTCATCCAAAGAAAGTATACCCTACACAGAGTAATGTGAAGGCGATGTTCATTGTGGCATGTGACATTGATAGAGTGATACTGCACCACACTGTACCTCAACGACAAACAGTAAACACTGCCTACTACTGCAATTTCCTGTGTAATCATCTTCGTCCAGCACTCAGGAGAAAGTGACAACACTTGTTGGCAACTAACCCCATCATCCTTCATGACAATGCAAGGGCTCATACTACTGATGCTGTCAAGGATCTCCTTCGCCGCTGGCAATGGGAGATACTGCAACGTCTGCCATACTCATCCGATATGAGTCCATGCGATTATGATCTCTTTGCCAAAATGAAAGAACAACTGCGAGGGACACATTACAACACGAGAGTAGATTATTTGTGCTGTAGGGCGGTCACTGCTAGACATCAACAGAAGTGGATGCGCTGATGGTGTACGATGCCTTCCACAAATTTGGCAGAAGTTGGTACATATGGGGCGCGATTATATTGAAGGAATGTAAGTGTGTTTACCTCAGGTAATAGTCATTTCAGAACTATAGAGGTGTTGCCACTACTTTTTATCCAACCTATATATAATATGTGACTTGAAATTATTCTTGTCCAGGAGGTTCATCATTAGGTAGCCATGGTACTACGCCTGGACTCCCTCCAACCCCAATCAAGTATGAGTATGGGGAGCCTGGTACAGGGGCTGTTGCTCCAGGAAATGCATTCAGTGGGGCTGTTGAAGGAGCAGTAGGACCCAAACCACCTGAGATGAAGTACAGTTGTAGCCTGGAATTTGCTCGACACCACTCAGGTAAACTGCAGTGATGCACTTGTAGTGATACAGATCAGGTTAAGGTCTCACCGTACATTAAGTTCAGTAGTTCAGGTGCAAGATTTTAAATTTAGGACTAATTGTATGAAACCTTTAAAAGCTGGTGACTAGAATTGTAAAATTCCATGTGTGGACATTAAATGGCCTGCTGCTGTATGTGGAGCAGTCTTTTAAATCAGCATTGTGTCTCATATAATCTCACAGTTTCATAGACCATTAGAACATGCACTTAGAAGTCCAGGAATATAAACACAAGGAAACTACATAAATATCTGTCATATGTTATCTAAATGGTATGGAAAGATTACCTCCCTGTCTCTATGAATGACAGGTGAAAATAACATGCCAGGGACAGTTGAAAACTGTTCTGGTTAAGACATACTCTAGTTAAGATGGACCTTCATTGCCTGTCATATATGTATCTTGCTTTATTTTATCGTATCTTTAGTTGGAATGTAGTACTTCTACCTGTAGTACCCATGCCCAGCAGTCTTAACCCACAGGGTTTAAAGTCATGTAAAAGATTAAAATATTCTCTGATTTAATCATGCTAACTGGTGTCATGATTAATTTTTCATGCAGACACACATTGTACTCTATATTGTTATACTAAATTGAAATACAGCATTTTGATCTTATTATCATCATCCTTTCCATTTATAAGGCCATTGAGACTTGTTATGGATGTTACAAAACATAATCTATCGTTTTAGAGGTCTTCCCATATGTGTTTCTCCCATTTCTCTGTTGTATAAATTCTGTTGTTTGTGGAATTATAGTTCTCTCATAATTTCTTCAATTCTTTTATGGTTGAAAAGAATATATCTCACAGTCCTCACAAATTTCATTGCTGCTGATACCAGTGCTCTTCCACAAGGTCTTAAGTCCATAATTCACTGCCATAAGATAATGTTGGTCTAGCAAGTGTCTTATAAATTTGTATGTCTGTAAACTAACGATGGTGTAAAGATCCTGGTGTATTGACAGAATTAACAATTTTTACAACCAAGCCTTTATCCTCTTAGAATAATTCTGTCCTATATAAGTAAAAGGATTGTCACATGAAATGGCAACCCTGTGGGCTGTGATGGGAAATGGATTTAGTAGGTAGTGTCTTCTCTTAGTTACAAGTGATTATAATCGATAGTTGTTTTCACTAGATATGGGTTCGAACTCCTGGATCACCTGGCATGCTGTTTTGTATAGCCTGTTAATGGACTGCCGGTGTTCCCAGCCTTAACTTAGCTATTGAGCATGCATGCTGTTTTCTGAAATACATACTTATCATGGCACTGTCTAGTAATGAACATCTCTGATATTTCTACACTTCAGACATTTTGAAGTTTATGAAACTTAGACATCTGTCACAGTATTGATTTGTTCCATTATCCTACCCCCAGTGCATTGATGTGTTTTGATCTCCTGAAAATGGGATTGCTTGAAAGTAATTTAAAAGTACATGTTGAGTGTGTGGGTGAAATCAAGCTTTATATAGGTTTCTTTGGCAGTAACTCACTTAGAAAGATAGGTATAATATGTCATAACTGGCTTGTTACAGATGGGAGACCTGTTCTTGAGCACATTCAGCACAACCACTCATACCATCTACCTCCTGAGAGTGCCGGTGCCTTGCAACGGCCTGTCACAAGAGATAAGCAGAAAGGTATATAACATGGTTTCAGAACTCATCAATTTTAAATGACCTGGTCTGTCGACATGAACGTTTACTGAAGTTCAGCTCAGGGTCAATGCAAATAGCAAAATTTATGACACAATATTTTATGAAAGTGTGAGATTTTAGGTTCTCTCAGGAGTGAAAATTATTTTGCAGTATTCTGGCATATGAGGCCATGGAATTCAGTGCATCTGTACTGACATTTTTGAGGAGCATGCTGCCTCTGTCTGCTTTCCTGAAGATTGAGGCAGCAGGTTCCTCCAAAATATTGGTACCTCTTTACTAACCTATGCAGCATCAGATCACAGAAGACTGTAATCTCATTTCTGTGAAAAACTTGAGATTCAATTTGCAGTCATAGCTAAATTCTCTTTCCACTATGATAATAGCTCTTGAAATATAAATGCACGCACATTAAGTTTGTTGTAACCATGTTAAGTAGATATCTGAATGAGTAGTCTGCTCCTCAAGACAGTAAAACTAAATGTTAGTCATGAATAATATGACAGAAATTACATACAAATGCTTGTAATCTTGTGGATCCTCATCACACAACTTTTTGTCATACTTTCAAAGAACAAAGTTGGCAAGGCTGTAACTAGCAGATGATGCTGAATAATGGACACACATTAAATTAAAAGTTTGTCAAGTGCATCCAAGCTTTGGCTACTAGATAATCCTAAACCAAGATATCATTCAGGTGTGTACAGTTATAAAAGGAATCTTTCCATTAATTAATTAAAATGTACATAACATTACATTGGAAATAATAACTTGGATACACATTGTAGGTAGAGGTTAGGCTTTGCTTGGAAGATACCATTCCTTTATATTATATTGAAACTATTAAAGAAAGGGCTGAGGAGTCAGAGTTTGAGAGGAAATCATAGAACTCTTATTCAGTTATATTTTAGAACATTAAATAACATTGTATGATGTACACTTGGAGTTTTAGTTTCGGGAAGCACATATTCCACATATACTTCATCAAGTCATATATTTTTGGCCTCACATAAAATTCAGAAAATGTATTTGGCCACCTGAGGTTGGATGTAAAACTGATCTTTCTTTTTATAACAGAAAAATTCCAAAAATATTCATTTTCTGTGCTGGTTACCTGAATCTGTTCCTGTGATACATAGTGTTGTATTGCTAAACTTTGTAGATTTTTCTCCCTTTGTGGAGTCATTTCCATTGTGGTGTGCATAAGTGTTTGATTTATTTCACACCTGTTTATGTAGTAAGGAATCTTGCTTTGCTCAAAGCAGGTTACACTGGCCATGCCTTAGAAGTGTCGTTGGCTTCTGCCATCCTTTTGTAAATTTCAGTGATGTGTTTGAATTTGAGTGTGCATGAACTCTATTACTTGTGACATAAATCTTAGTTCTCTGGATACCCTGTCATGGCAATGTAATAATGTAATAGATGTAGTATGATACTTGTGGGATTTGAGGTTCTCACATCAGTGGTTATGAAGAGTTCTGTCTAATGGGATGTAACACCATGTAGCCTGATGAAAGTCAGCCAGTGTTTTGGAGAATATGTCACCTCCATCTTTCAGACTGAAGAGTAATCCAAGCAAGAAAGCAGCCTCAGCTGCCAGCTTCATTTCAGTTTCTTGCATGGTCTACCCTTGGATCCTGAAGATGGAGGCACCATGTTTCTCCATTATATCAGTTGACTTTTAGTGGCCTTATATCCCAGAAGATAGAACTATTCAGTATAGTTGTCAGCATTAGTCTATATACGAGTAGTTATAGTCTTACTTATGAAGGGGCATGCAGTAGCATAGCTTGTGGAGGCACTATGCTACAAGCTGGAAGGTCGTGGGTTCAATTTCCAATGAGGTTGATTTTTTCAATTTACCTAATCCTTCCAGCCTCAATATGGCCCTGGGGTTGATTCAGCCTCTAACAGAAGTGAGTAGCAGGAAGATTCCTGAGGGATAAACAACAGCTGGCGAATAAGGCTGTCAACCTTACCGCCATATATGAGCCGATTGTCTAGAAGATGTGGGAGCCTCAACTCTCACACCCCTATGGGCTTTCATGGCGTGTTACAGGGACAGCTTTACCTTCTTTAACTTACTTATGTAAGAACCCAAAAGTTGTTGTCTTCTTAAGTTAACCATACACAAGACATGGCGTGAGGCTTATATTTGGTATGAATTTTGTGTTATTTTATCCAGGCCGAAAATCAGAGGAGGAGCATTTGAATAGAGATGAGAAGCGTGCACGATCAATGAATATTCCAATGACTGTGTCTGACATAATCAACCTTCCCATGGATGAATTTAACGAGCGATTATCCAAATATGATCTAAGTGAGGCGCAGCTCTCACTTATCAGAGACATCAGACGACGGGGCAAAAACAAGGTTTCTTACAATCTTTTATTCTTTTAGAGTTAAGAGTTGTTTGAAGTACAACACATTTTAAAATTAAAATGTGTGTTTGTATGTTGCTCTATTTGTTGCTTACAAGAAAGAAAGTTCTACATTTTTTGTATAAGAACAGTGTAGTCTAAACAGAAAGTTGTGCCTGCTCATATTTTACCATGATGGGCTCGGAGGAGGAGAACACAGAATTTAAAAGACTGATAGAATTAATCTGTATGGTAAAAGGTGGACAAATGATTAATTTTTCAACTATGCCAGTTGTGCAGTACCAGCTACTGTGAATTGTCTGACTCCAGATTCAGGCGCTGTATTTGAAAAGCTAATTACTGATTTGCATAGAAGTTTATGTGCCCTTGCTAGCAACACTTTTCATATGACACACTCAATCTTTCTTGTTCCAGGTGGCTGCACAGAACTGCCGCAAACGTAAGCTGGACCAAATCTTGACTCTAGCTGATGAAGTGAAGGAAATGAGAGATCGGAAGAATCGCCTGATTAGGGAGAGAGACTTCAGGTTGGCCGAGATACAGCGAGCCAAGGAGAAATTCAGCCAACTTTATAGACATGTCTTCCAAGTAAGTTTATATTTGAGATTTCAGCACGATACTGTTCTTTGCCCCCTAAAGGTGAAGCTATCCCTGTAAAAGGCTGTGAAGACCCGTAGGGTTGTGGGACATTGAGGCTCACACATTTTCTCCAGACAGTTGGCTCACAGATGGCAGTAAGGTTGTCAGCCTTATGCATCAGCTGCCCTTTACACTCCAGGAAGATTCCTGGTACTCTTTACCCTCTACCTCGTTTATTTTCTTGAGATTGAACCTCTCGGTATGAACGCTGTGCATTGTTTGTTTACTCACTGCCAGTCTGTCCCTAACTTTTGCCACCACCAGATAGTGGTCAGTATCACAATCTGCTGCCCCAAACTATCAGACATCAAGTATGATTGAATGCTGTCTCCTATATATCTAAATAGATGACCAAGTAAATTTATGAATATTTGATGTGGGAATGTTGGACAGTAAGATTTTGGATGCGACAAAGTTTACTACTCTAACTTCATTATCATTAATAATTTCGTGTGAAATCTCATTCCTAATTGATGGTTTGAAAATGTTCTCCCTACCTACTTTGGCATTGAAATCTCCAAACAACACTTTCATATGGTATTTACGAAATTTATGAAATGTGTTTTCCCGTTCATTGTAGGACCCGTCCTAACCCGTCCTTCAGTTTTATCTTGTGTTTGGAGCATGAACATTCAGAATAATGATGTCACACCAGTGACCTCTTAGTATTATGTATGACATCCTATCACTAACGAACTCTACCCTCATAACTGCTGATGTGATTCTCTTATGTATAAAAAACAACCTATACCTGATTCATGATTCTAATTCCCCTTTCAATAGAAAATCACATATTTGTATGACCTCCAGCCTATCTGACCTCCTGTACTCCCACTAAGTCTAACTTAAAGCACAATAGACCACTGTAGGTCACAGTGCAGGGGCTGAGAAGGCCCACCCCTTATACATTCATACATACAAGTCTAACTTATATTTTGAGATTTCTTTCGCTTAGGTCATTTATCCAAAGAATCCATCCAGGACCAAGGCTTCTTGTCATCTTTCATAAAAAGCTTATTTTTTTACAGTGAGTAGTTGTTAGCCCTACAGCCAAACCCAAAGCTTGGGGACCACTCGTCGGCTTTCTGTGACTTCTTATTCAATATATTTACATCTACCCTCCATATCTAGAGACCGTCTCCTCCATCCACCACCTGATGACGAACCAAGCCATGGTGACAAGGGACTTATCTAACATGGAGAGTGGTCAGTTTCACACACTGGCTGCTTTACCTCTAGAAAAGGAGCCCCCAGTAGCCATTGGATAGGAGGCTGGATAGACCACAGACCCGGCCTGAATGATGTGAAGAAGAGAAGAATGATTCGAATGCCAGTCCCTTGGCTGTCCAGCCCAATACTAACTGCACTATCCCAGCTCCTATTTGTGCTTAGATGCAAAGGAACATCTGGAGAGACATGCAGAAATCTCTAAAGTGTTTAGCAGAACAGAAAAGAATGTACTCAGGATTGATGAAGCTGAACTTTATTTCTTAAATCTCTGAATAGAATCATGAAAACAGTGTGATGATGTGCAAGATAACTTTAAATCTTGATATTCATGCTTCCTTAAGGGGACATGATTCTTCACAAATTTTTATTTTCTCAGTCTGTTAAACAGTTTAAGAAATAAAGTAACATCACTTGCAACATCGCAAGAAAATATTTGTTATGCTAGGGGTCTGTGTACTCAAAATTCTCTCATGTTGCCATGACATCCAGTATTAAAGAAGTACAAAATACAAGTTTTGAGAATCTCCTGTAGTGTGAGCCATGATAGTGCTGTTGGTATAGTGACTGGCCATAGACTGGAGGGCTAAGCATTTGGAGTTGAGTCCTTTTAGAGCTAAGATTTTTCTCGTTTCCATGTCATCCAGACCAGCTCTGGGGCCCATCCTTCCCAGGGGTGAAGCGGCCCTGGCGTGAAGCTGATTACCCACTTCCAACTAGGGCTGAGATTATGAAAACGTTTGTCTATACATGCACTCCACCATATGTCTTCATGGCATAGTGCTTAATTAGTTAAGCACAGGGTTAACTTATTTGCTTTAAGAAGCTTCTGTAAATACACAATTTTCATGAAAATGATAACAGGCTGTCACTAGCCAATCCACCTACAGCCAGCATCTGCAGTGCTCTATCAGCACACTGTGTTACATTAATAATATGCAGTATAATTACACTTTTGTTCTACAGAGAAGTAGCACTCATTATAGCAAAGTTCTCACTAATTGCAGTGTTCATATTGTGCTTAAAAATTATAGTCACTTATTTCTACAGCACCTGCGAGATCCTGATGGTAACCAGTACTCTCCATATGAATATAGCCTACAGCAGTCTGCAGATGGAAGTGTCCTCCTGGTACCCCGCACTAATTCCTCAGCCATGCTGGAGCCAGAATTATCACGGCAGAAGCACAAAGAACATGATCCTCATCACAAAGAGTGATCCCAAGTGTGTGGTTGAGCAATCCCTGCTCTACATTGTACAAGCGGCTCAACTTTCTGAAGTTATATTTGTATTTAGTTTGTACTACATCAGCTGGAAAATATGTTTTGTACAAACTGTTTTATCACAGGAATTTTAAACATGATGGTTTGAAAGCTGAGACTATAATAGAGACTATAATACTTAGAATAAATACAGGAAGGACGTCAAATATACTGCATTTTGGATATCTCCATAATCCAAGAAATGTTTTAAATGTAACATCTTCTGAATATTGAGATCCCTTTAAACTTCATTCAACTCCTAAAAATTTTGTAAGGTACCTATTTTATGCATTTAACATTTAGACGTTGTACATTATCTTTGTATAATGAAAATCACAACGAAAGACTGCAGAGGTAATTGAAAGGAAAGAAGCATTAATTTTATATATTAGAATTCATATAAATTTTTGTACTGCTACACTTACCTACATTCATTAAAATTATAAAGCGTGTATTGATTGCTTTGACTTCTTTCATGTTTATATGCCGTATTTACTCATATAATTGTCCCCAATTTTTTCTCCATCTTCTTTTTACAGATTTTTTTCCCTTATAACAAGAAAGTGGTTATGTAAAGTGAATAAAGCCTACTGGTGATGGAATTGTAAAATATTTGTTTTATGTATATATGTGTGTTTTATATATATATATATATACACACACACACACACACAGAGACATGCGATACAGAATATAGTTTAAATTGTGCTATGTAATTACTATATTGCCAGCATAATGTTACACTTTCATTTACTACAGATGCCTCTGTCTTTCATGTGTGACCAACACAGTACACAGCATCATTACTACTTCTTGCGCTTCCTTTAGTATATGTTTTTCTTCAAGAAAGGCTGACAGAGCTGAGGGACACACATAGTTGCCTCAATAATGAATGTTCTGATGTTGGTAATTGTGATTTATGAAGAATTGACACTCGAGTGTGAAGATTTTTGTTATTATCCTTTTCCTGGCCATCATTAGGAAAGTCACAGAAGTGGACACCATTGCATATTGAAAGTTCCAGCAGCAGCATCAGTTAATGAGAACATGCATTAGTGAAGATGAGCATGAGGGTGATGCCTGAACCACATAACCACATTTCAGGACACAGTAGGTTGACTCTTGTGGTCATTCATTGCACTGCAAAAGAAGACCGATTTGAAATGGTGAGAGAGAAGGGGAAGAGGGACTGCAGTTTAAATAGTAGAAGGAATTGTACTGGTGACTCTGTTACCCATGCCAATTTTGAGTACAGAGTTGGGCAATGAGATCCGTCCATCCATAAGTCCACTGGAAAGGGAAGAGAGTGGTATGCAACAGAGATTCATTTATGTGGTACAAAAATTTCCTGCCTATAAAATGGGTATGGAAGCTACTTGATGTAATCAATTACATGAGTAAATATGGTATTTAGTTCCACGAAAAATAAACCAGTGGCTGCAGTTATTTTGTATGACATCTGCTTCTTAATTTGTAGTAAACTGTTTCCTTTTTCATATGTGGACATAAGTGTGTTTGTTATATGTTGTGACTGTGCTGTGATGACATACTCTGTTGTACAGTTGGCTTTGTAGCAAATTTGTAACCAAGAACCATTTCTTTGGTTGAAATTGAAACGTGAACGAAGATGAATCTGTCACTTCTGTGACGATTTTTGTCAATATAGAAGCTTGTATTTGGTTAAAACCATAGTATGAGGTTGTGATTTTCTCTCCAGTAATAAATTGGGCATTAACATTATGGAACTTCTTTTGGCTTATTTTGGACTTCATCCATTGTCTAGTATGTAAAAGACAAAAGACCCACGATGTTTCGGAGACTGGATCTGTCTCCATCTTGAGGTGGGTAGGGAAGGATAAACCTACTCAGTTGGGTCCGTTAGAAAGAGCTAGTCTCAATCATCACGTCGTGGTCTTTTCCATACCAGACGATGGATGAAGTCCAAAATAAGCCAAAAGAAGTACAGTATGCACCATCGTCAGAATCCTTTCAAGTCTAACATTATGGAACATAGCAATGCCAACATGCAAGGTGTGTTTTCACACAGGTTGACTGAGTGAGAATGTATGCATTCATGAGTGCATAATCAGTGCACGCAGAGCTGTCAGTTCTGTCCACACTAATTATGTATACAGTTTGTTGTAGTGTATATATATATATATATTCAGGTTCTTAAGTCCTGTTCGAGCAGTGTAGGTTACAAAGTTATGCTATCCTGTTCCAACTTGTGGGACACAAATTTGTAAGTACATGTAGTGTCATTAAATGCAGCCAGTGTGAAGTATCTACAATGCTTGTAGTTTCCAGCAAGTTGGCTTGCATCTCAGTATGCCTTAACTGTGTTTGCACTTACCCAGCAAGTTATTGAAGATGTTTTGTTTATAAAATTGCAGGATTGTTTTTCAGTTAATTACTTTTTAAATAATGGCAGTTATTATTGTATAAATGGAAAAGAATTGTGAATATACAGATATTTTTATAACTGAAAGGAATAATATTACAGGTGATGCTGATTACTGTTTTATGTATATATTGAGGTAGTTACTTTTTTTTAAATAAATAATGGATAACTTTCAGGGTGGTAGACATTTCAGTTTTATGTGGCAAGGGCTGTATTATATTGGTAGTTCATTTCTAAGAGATAACACCAGCTATATGTTTGAGATTACTTGAAGTTGAAAGTATGTAGTAAGTAAGAAGTACAGACATCTTCAGAGATTTATAATCATATTATTTTATATAGTTTTCTAATACTTCAGTTGTCTTCAGTCATGTCATAATAATGGGGCATGCTCTTTTTACATAAATAACAATTAGGAACATCCACAGAGAATACAATGGAAGTCACAGGAGACAAGATGGAACTAAAGTTCATATTCAGAAAGTCAGTCTTATTTCAACATTCATCTTATATAAACAGAAAATATATGAATTTCATTTAGTGAATAATTTTTTTAATTGTGTGACATTTTCAAACAAGGAACTGTTGCTATCTGCAGGCCGCTGAACTAATTGTTCCTTAAACACAGTTTCCAAGGTCTGGTTCTTCCATCATTTTCTCTTTGGATCCTTGTTCTGTTAAGTACTTCTCTCTTTCATTGTCTGCTATGTATTGAGTAAGATAAATGTGATACACATGGGCCTACACATGATTTGCGGGTGAATTGTATAAAAACTTAGTTTATTTCTAGAGGTGAACATTTTTCTTAAAATGCAGGTGGATCTCAAAAACAACAGTAATCTGCTCTTTTCTTCATTGTATTTGGACAACATTATGAAAATGTTAACCTCAAGAAGTTCTTTGCTGTACTGTCATGAGTACAAGTAATTTAGTATGTAAGATTTGAGGCTTTCACGGCGGTGACTATGAAGAAAGCAGTCTTCTGGGATTTGGCACCGTGTATATGTAGTGTTAACCACATAACACCACATATACACGGTGCCAAATCCCAGAAGACTGCTTTCTTCAAGTAATTTAGTAAGTTCTGCTCACACAGTCCTTGTGCCAAACAGCTTTTCAGCACAGTGCATCAGAATTAGTAATGTGTGGTTTTATTATTATGAGATGCTTAAAATACTTGAGCAATCAACTGCTCTTAACTTGGTCTTCTTGGGTATCAATTCATGTATTGTTATGCAAGACACTGAATGTTATTCCAAGGGTGATTTAGTCTTTCTTCTCCTTGGTTTCTCTCCCACCAAGAGAAGGTGGTTTATATTAAATGGGGAGAATGCTTGCAGCAAGCACTTATACCAAGTGCTCCTAACATGATGAGGAATATACCCTACATAAACACTTCTGATCGTGGGAATCAAAAGCACTGGTACTGTTGCCCTTAATTGCCTACATTTTATTGTGATGCATGTGCACACAGTCCAAGAAGCCTAACCCTAAATTTTTGTCAATACAGATGCTGTTACCTACTATTTAAAACCTGACTGTCAGCACTGTAGTATGTGAGAGACTTAAGCCCTCTAATTGTGGATGACAAAGGTTAATCGCCAAAGGCTCAATAAAATAAAAATGCATTGTCATTTTGTCATATTCTTTTATGTTGTTTTAATGTCTGACAGATACAATGTATGATAGTGTGATTATTTTTCTCATAAAAAATTATCAAAGCCCACGTATTTGAAATTGTTGTGCCTGTCTTTTGAATAAAACAGATTTCTACCATATTGCTTTGTTTTTCTGTTAACTCTTAAAGGGTGTGGGATGAATTTTTTAACTATAAAAATGCAATATTTAACTTGAATTTCCATTTAAGTTTCATGTTACATTCATACTACAAAAGGGAATCATATTATTGACTCCACACACACTTCTAAAAATTGTCAGTAAGTTAAATTTTTTAAACGTCTTCAAATAATTGCATTCCATATGCATGAACTGAAGATGAAATTAACCTTAGTACTTGGAAATCAATTTTCCTTACTTTATTTGAGGGTGGTGAGTGACTATCAAGATTAATTCTGAATTATCATGTTTGTCACAGTGATCAGTGGATGTGGTTGACAGGAGTGTATTAACCCTGAATCTCAGGAAAATGTAACCAATAGTTACATCTTTTAAATGCTTCAGCAAAGTTTTGTATTGTTACCAATGTTTTGGATGAAGTCTCTTTCTCTGTGTCAGAAAATCCAGTAATTTTCATATAGCAATCTAGTCATATGGCAACCTATTCTCCAGAATATCTTCTACAATTATGCTTTAATGATTAAGGGGACAGGTTAAGTATTGTGTTTTAGTAAGAAAACATTGTCTGTGAAGGAAATGAATGAAAGTGTGTTCTCTGAAAGAGTACATTTATTTTGGAAGTACATTGTCAATAGTATTCACATGGAATCACAGCAGTGACAAATTTCATAGAAATATTTCTTAAAACGTAGCACACTATAATAAAATTATAACATGAATTGATATTTATCTAATTAATTTAAATTAATGCATGGATATATTTTGAACTGAAGGTGTCACCATAAGAGGTGTTTTTGGTATATTTGCTGAAGGTTATTTCATGATGGATTGTTTACTCTAAAAATTTATGTTAAGAAAATATTGATTCAATTTCTTTAATAGAGTCCGTCACAACACAACAATATAAAAGTCAAGGCTATGTATGTATGAAGGAAGGGGTAGGCCTTCTCGGCCCTTGCACTTAGACCTCAGTGGTTTATTGTGCTTCCCCTTTTTTAATTATTCCCTCAGCAACCCCACACTTCGGATGAAGTGCAGGATTTTGGACGTGGGGGCGTCGAAATAGTCACTTGGTTCCATAAAGTACTGACCCAAGTGACGTAGTCTTAAATAAGCTAAAGCCTCACATTCACACAGGACGTGTGTAACAAGTCAAGGCTAAAATTAGCTACAAACTGATTTGATTATATAGAATATCACATGAAGAGTTTTAACCTTATTTTATGTCATAACTTTCGTTTTAATAAGTTTATAGTTCATTGTACTTTTATACCATGTATTTTATAATGTATTATCAATTATCCAGCTTAACCATCACAATTGCAGTTCAGTAGTGTGTGTGAATATGGTAATCATGTGTTTGCCTGATGATGGCTTTATGAGCTGAAACATGTAGCCAAGCTAATTTTAGCCTTGACCTTTATATTGTTGTGTTGTGACAGATTCTAACAAAGAAATTGTGTGTAGTAACACAACAGGATGCACGAAATGAAAATTAGAAACATTGATTATTATTGTAATTCAATGGTGTTTGCCCAAGTTTCACATTTACTTTTTACTACAATGGTACACAATCAAACTTAAAAAATAAATCTTAGAAATGCACTGGTTTTCAAGTTGATGGGCCAAACACTGTCTCCCTATTATGCATTCAGTTTTTGCACCTTGTGCAGATAATGAACAAAGCCATTAATACTTTGCTATGCTGTTTCTGTATCCTCCATGTTACTTGTGCATGGTGAGCAGTCCGTTCCCTTTTTTCTTTCTGTTTTTGTGTCCTCCATACTGTTGCTGGAACTGCTGAAGAATTTAGACAAATTATAGTTAACAGCAGAAGGAGAATAAGTGATCACAGACAACAGGCAGTGGCTAGTCCTCTAGCTCTGAAATATGATATGGGGCTAAAATGCCATTACTGTAAAGTACTAGTGTTATGACCTATCACAAAAAACTCTGATTCTGGACATACATAAATGTAGGAAATTTGAAATGGATTCAAAATTTCTGTTGGAAAACTTAAAAGGAAACAACTACTTCAGATATATGACCATGAATGGGAGCATAATATTTAAATTTATCATGCAGAGATAGGATATAAAGAAGTGAAATGAAGTCAGCTGGCTGAGGATAGAATCAGTGGGGTCTGATTTCCTTAAAAAAATTATTTGTTGTACAGCCAAATAACTAACAGATGCTCAAGGATGACCTTATACCATATTGTCATTTTATTGGTTCGATTTTTGAAGATTTATAGATAGCTGAATGAAAGTAGTCAACAATTTTCTTACTTAAATAATGATTGATTATTCCGTGATTGAAATATGTTTACTGTTTCTTCTGATTTTATAATAGACTGTTCATACAGATAATCATTTGCAATTATATTAAATTATTATTGGTTAATTTTCTCAGAAATTATATTCATTAGTAGTTTTAACATTTTATTTACAGGTTGTGGGTTACCAATATTAGACATTCAGATTTTTAAGGTGGAACAAAATTTAGAATCTCACCGTGTTAATACTGTTGCATTATACAGGTCACATATTATCAGTAGGATAGTGATATCAAGAAGTCCATGATGTGGAAGGTGTGTGGCTAGGAAAGGGAGATGAGGAATGCATACAGAATTTTATTAAGGATGCCTCATTGAAAATATCCACTTGCAAGATTAAGAATGATGATTCTTGGGGACATTGGTTGTGAGGACTGTAGATTGATGAAAGTGGTTCAGAAGCATGTCCAATGATAGGTTCTAGCATGGCAATATTGAATCTGTGGTTCATTTGCTACATGGCAGTGTGAAATATTTCCATTAGGACATGTTATTCATGCCATTTATGTGGTATGCAGCAAATATTTTATGATGGAAATTTATGGATATGGAAGTATGCTTGTTCGGTTGTGGGGAGGCAAAATAACACACATCAATTTTCTTCCAGCTACTTTAATAGCTATTGCAATTTAGTTCTGGTGACAGTGCATACAGTTCATTCTTTGTCCTTTTCAAAAGACAAAAATTTTGATTCATAACCAACAGCATTCTAATGAGGGTGGCCATGGCCTCCTCCTGGCTGGTTAGGCTTTCTTTTGCCCCCAGGTTGCTGCTGAGATTTCCTTCCATTCCCAAGGTAATTGTTCTGAGGTCTGATTCCAGGATGATTGTTTGTTGGCGCATTTGGTCTGGGTCTGGAAACTTGTGGTTTCTGCAGGCTAGTAGCGCGTTTTGCTCTTTGCTCAGGCTCTTCTGCAATTGTTGATAAAGGCCGTCGGAGGAATGAAGAGTCCTTGGTGGCTCCCACTTTCTTTGATTCTTTGTCTTGCTCAACGTGACGCCTGCAAATATGTCAGGTTTAATAACATATATGTATTACAAACACCACTGTTGTAGTACATTTTACAGGTAGAAAAGATGGTCCTGGTAGAGTAAATAATATTTCCATGTAATTGTTTTCCTAAAGATGTCACTTTTTTATGAGGTCTTTAGTTTAATGTGAATAAAATGAGCAATTAAAGGGCTTGTGAGGTAGTGTCCATCCGTACATACGTTTGAACTTCAAAACTACTTAAAGTATTGATCATTGGTGTATTTAACAGCACCTGTATAACTGTAGGAACCATGTATTATTGAATACTTCAAAATACTCTCCCAGAATATCTCTGGAGAGATTGAGGAAAGCCATGAAATCCCTCTGTCATGATAGCTAGTTTAGGGGCCGAGATTAGACACGGGATCTCCTGAATATAACACAAGAGTGCTTACCACTTGATATCAACATTCAGTAATCGTGATTGAATTGAATTGAATTTATTTACATTCTATAAATCCTAAGCAGGTTAGTACCTTTGGATACAGAACAAGTCAAAATGTTACATACATAAGTACAGGCAATTTTAGCTTAAAAATTAATATAACTTAATTTTACATCATTCTCTATTTACATTGAAGTATTCATCTAAAGAGTAGAAGGAATGAGCATGTAGATAATTCTTTAACTCTGATTTAAACTTTTTAGTATCATTGCCCAAGTTTTTAATACTTTGTGGCAGATTGTTGAACACTTTTATGCCAGTAAAGTAGACTCCTTTTTGATATACTGATAAAGTTGATGAGGGTAGGTGGAAGTTGTATTTTTGTCTAGTATTCATGTTATAGACATCAGAATTTAATTTGAATTTATCTTTGTTGTAAACAACAAATAGGAGAAGCGATAATAT